TCTCCTGAAAATGAGGTGAAGGCCCTCACCTTGTTGGATTTGGGATGCCAGAGAGATCAGAGTCAAATCTCAGATTTGCCATTGAGAGATGGAGCAACCAGCTGGGTCCATGTTCTACAAACATTGATGGTAAGGAGCTATTCTACCAGTGCAATGAGGCACTGAGGGCTCTTGCACCTTGCCAAGGCAGCACAGGCCCAGTTCAGACCCAGTCCATCACCTACAGGACTTGACTCTATGTGCCCAGTGTTAGGAGGGTTCATCTGAACCCCAGAAATCTCCAGAGAGGATGAGCCTTGGGGCACACTCAAGCTCTCAGTACAACCAGACAGTCCACATGCAAAAAGGGTCTAATGAGGATATTGCTCCAACTGCAGAAAGAAAAACACAGAAATGCAAACAAAGAAAACTAGGACCTATTTTTGCAAGATATATATATATACATCTTACAAATATATATATATATATATAAATTATTTGTTTTTTTTGTCCATGTATTTCTTTCTTCTAAGCCTGGTATAGTGGGGTCCTGGTCGTTGCTTCCATACAGTCCTACAGACCCTCATTCCCATCTTACTGTCTGACCCATGGGAGATTCTCCTGCACGTTTTTGCTCTAACCTTTGTATCTCCCACCTCAGAACGGTGTCTTTGGCATCCAGACCTGATGAGGATCTGGGGTAACAGTTGCAACGTGACTGTAATCACAGCATCTGAAGGGAATGCGAGAGGGCAAAACCCATTCCCAAGCTGTGGGCTTTGCTCATGCCCCCGTATCCGACCACAAACTCCACTATTATATGAAACAGTGGCCCTTGCACCTGTCCTTTCTAGTGGAAAATATTCTCCAAAACATTCAAAACCCCGATGAGACCTCAGGGTAGTTTCTCTCCTTGCTCAGCTTGCTGGCAGGACCTAGTTTTGTAAGATATATGCATATCTTACAAATACATACATAAAAATTATTTGTTTTTTGTCCATATATTTCTTTCTTCAAAGCCTGGTATAGGGGGGTCCTGGTCGTTGCTTCCATACAATCTTACAGACCCTCATTCCCATCTTACTGTCTGACCCATGGGAGATTCTCCTGCATGTTTCTGCTCTAACCTTTGCATCTCCCACCTCAGAACGGTGTCTTTGGCATCCAGACCTGATGAGGATCTGGGGTAACAGTTGCAACGTGACTGTAATCACAGCATCTGAAGGGAATGCGAGAGGGCAAAACCCATTCCCAAGCTGTGGGCTTTGCTCATGCCCCCGTATCCGACCACAAACTCCACTATTATATGAAACAGTGGCCCTTGCACCTGTCCTTTCTAGTGGAAAATATTCTCCAAAACATTCAAAACCCCGATGAGACCTCAGGGTAGTTTCTCTCCTTGCTCAGCTTGCTGGTTACATGATGCTCAGCCGGGGCTCTGCAGCCGCAGGGGTCCTGCGGGCGCTGGGGCTGTTCTCCTAATTCACACCATTAGCCAGATCTGGTGGGCCCTGCTGGAGACCAAACTAATTGACACCCCGAGTGGGCAAAGCAGACAGAGACAGATAGTCCTGTGAAGAGAGAGCCCCAGGTTCGACCAACCAAGGAGGCAGTTTCAGTAAGTCTGTATTTTGCTTTATTTTTTTCTTTTTTGGGGGGGGGAGGGA